AGAGAGATTTTTTAAATATTTATTCTTTAGTTCTCGGCGGACACAATATCTTTGTTTGTATGTGGTGCTGAGGATCGAACCCGGGCCTCACACGTGCCAGGCAAGTGCGCTAACCGCTTGAGCCACAACCCCAGCCCCTGAAATATGCTTTTAGAGAGTTGGGCTGGCCAATTTGGTAGCCACTAGCCACATGGGACCATTGAACACATGAAATGTGACTGGTCTGAAATGCGAGGTGCTATATCAAATGTACCAGATTTGGAAGAGTTATTCTAAAACGAGAATGGAAAATGTCTCATTGATACCTTTTTTTTTTTTAATACTGATCACATGTTGAAATGACTATATTTCTGTTATATTGGGTTAAGCAATATATTGTTAAATTATTTTCTTCCATTTCTTTTTACTTTTTAAAATGTGGCTACCAGAAAATTATAAAGTGCATATTTGGCTGGCAATGATTTTCTGGTCACTGCTACTTGAGACTCCCAATGCCTACATTCTTTCACCTGTACAAGCATGAAGATGCTATTAAAAACTCAATTTGGATGAAATATTCCACAATTAATACCCACCTTCCAAGTAATTTTCATTTTTCCTTTTCTTTAAGAGGCTAAAATAAAGAAGAGATTTTCTTCTTTGATTCAGAAGTAGGCATAACACAAATACATTTAAATGTAATAGGGATATAAGAAAAACTGAAATTAAGCAAGACTGCCTGCAGACACTCTGTTAGCAAAACAGTAATATATACACCTGGACAAGCATCCATCCCGTGAGAAAACCCGGCAACTTTAATTACTTCACCTACAAGTAATACACTGAGAATTGTTTCTTTCCACTTGAGTGGAAGCATACAGCTCTGCAGAGTGAGCTGTCAGGAATTCTGCTTCTCTTACACCAGATCTGTCTTCTGAGGCTCACCTTTGTATATGTTGTGTAAATGATAATTAATATATGTAGCACATTGACCATAATGGGGACCCGAGTGAGCTAGGTTTGACCTGGCTTTGTTGCTTGCTGACTCAATGGCCTTGGGTCAGCAGCTTCACCTCTGGAGGTCCACCTGCTAATCTGTAAAATGGGAATAATAGGATGACGGATCCTGATGGTTGACAGTCTGCCTCTGCTCTTGGCATTTTTCCATTCTCATATTTGAAATCTCCTCTGCAAATTTATGATTTTGTTTGTGCCTTTTGCCAAAGAAATGCTCTTCTTCACCTCAGGCTTCACAAAAAGAACTTTCAGGGGACCACTAAGCTAGGCATTCGACCTTTGTCCTCTGCAGTATGTGTACCTGAGCTACAAATGTCTGACTCAGATTGGAGGACTTCCAGGGTGAGCTGTGGCTTGCAGAACATGGCCACAGTTGGCAAGGAGAGAAGGCTTGTTGAGAGATGTCTGCCTGGATGTGTGCAAGTTAATCAGCTAACTGAAGGGGACTTTACTGGAGAGTACAAGACTGATCCCAACTGTGGGACACTCCTTGCAGAATGCTGGAAACCAAGGCTTACGGAGGGAACAGAAACAGTTGGGGGGTTTTCAGGTGCTGAGGGATCTTTGAGGAGCCCATGGAATGACCCAGAAAAGGGGTCTGCTTTTAAAACCTGTCAATCCCCAAGAGCTACCCTGGAGAGCTATCATGAAACCTGGAGATAGAGCCCCATGTGCTTACAATGGTCTATAATTCATCTTTCTCCAACCACATTTCATCCCCACACCTCAATGTCCCAGAATTCATATTTTTTTGCCAGACGGAGGGTTAGGCTTTACCAAACGGGACCCACATTATTCAAGGACAGTTTTTGCCTATCTGCTGCATTAGCTAGTGCCACGTGGGAAAATTAAGCACAGCCCAACACAGTGACTTCCAGTTAAGTCCACCATGTTAAGTTGGGCTGTGTTAGCTTGCAGACTAATTTTGGAATGTATGACAGTAAAGTAGGCATGGAGGAACAAGACCATCCTGTGTGACGTATTTGAATGCATGCCAATAAATGATGAGGTAATCAAAGAAGAGAAGAATTAAGTGCTATGGACATTCTGAAAGAGCCAAAGGATCATGTTGAACTTGAGCAGTTGAGAGCCAGCTTCTTATAAGAATCCAGACTCCAAGGGTATCAACAGGGGGATCCTGAAGGGAAGGCCTGGGAATTCCACACTTGGAAAGGAGTGGGCTAACAAGGATTGGGAGTGAGGGGAAGAGTAGGGCTGGTAGTGGGGTGAATTGGATCTCAAGTGCCAGGTCAGGGACTCCAATGCTCATGGGTGGTTCATATCATCAAAGAATGACTTGGGGGGAAGTTTCTCAGCATATTAGTCACTGTATTTATTTATTTTAATTTAATTTAATTAATTTATTTTTTGTGTTGAAAGAGCCAAAAAATTCATGTCAGACTGTTTTAAATGGAGTGAGGGAGTTTAAAATGTAGAATAGGGAGAGGACAATTCCTTACCCTTCTTTCCAACACCAGGGCACACTACTGACACATTTTGATGTTAAGAGAAAATCCCTATGGGTAGAAGCTGGGCAAGGTGGTACATACTTGTACCAGGTGTTGGGAGCCGCTCTGGAATACACGCCCTTAAATCCTGAGCAAGAGATACTGAACAATTACTGCACCCTGCAATAACCTGGGCTTTACCTCCGCTATGATAATGAGGCGTGGCTCCAGGAGTAGGTGTTACCTGGTGGGGTTGAGTTACACTCACCTGTTCTTTTATAATCCTACCCCTTGCCCCTTTTTCGGGTAGACTATTCTAAGAAACAGAGTCCCCCAATAAAAGCGAACTCCAGAACTCATGCTCCCTCTCTCATTAGCTTCTCATGACTTTCTCTTGCCCCCCCCCCCTTGTGGGAGCTGAGGCTGGGAACCAGGGAAGATGTCCTGAAGCTTATAAAAAGATATTCCATGTCTGCGTGATATTTTGTGTCACCCCAAATTCACACGAGTGACTTTGCCTGTGCTGGGTGTGGGCAGCACCCAGGAACTCCTGAAGCTGAGGAAGGAGAATCCAAGACCAGTCTTGGCAACTTATGGAGACCCCGTCTCAAAAAGTGAAAACAAGGTTGGGAATGTAGCTCAGAGGTAGAGCACTCTTGGGTTCAACCATTAGCATGCAAAAAAAAAAAAAAATCCTTATGGGTAGGTACGATTTTAAGTGCTTCAAAGTGCTGCAGTGAAGACACTTGCCTCTCTATGTCATAAGGGGAGAATTCAGGGTTCATTTCCCACAACTGGAGGGTTTTGATTGAGTAGCACTACATGGTATCTCTGGAGTACCACTAATGTTGAGATCATAAATGTACTCCCCTTCTTACCAAGGTTTTTTGGAATGCCCAGCCTGTGCCAGGTCCCATGTTGTGAATCTGCATTGCAACGATGAATTCAAACTGTCCTAATAGGAGTTTCTATCAGGTATTGGGGGCAGGGAAATAGATGGAATAAAAATGGTAGAGCTTTGTAGGTGGGACATGAGGACCTGAGGGTTGATTATGTAACAGGGCTTCACTTGATGGTTTGACTATATCCCTTGTAGTTTTGAAACTTATGTTTTTTTTTTTTTCCCAATCTTCTTTTTCCTAAACTTCTCCCTGACCTCTACCTAATCTCATTTTCTCTGAATCACCTCTATAAAAGCCCCCTGTTTGAGCCGATGGGCAGAATCACAGCCTTTGGGACAGGAGTCCCCTGTTTCTCCTTTGCTAGCAAAACAATAAACCATCTTCTTCCTTTTTTCTCAAATCCATGTTCTCATTATTGGATTGGCATCAGGGACAAGGACCAAGGTTTTGGCAACAATTACATAATTTCCTTACCCTTTGGTATGCTTGATAATTTTCCTAACAAAGTCAGATCCTAATAAGACTGTCCTATCTCTTAAATAAGAAAGCTAGATTAGATGCCTGTATTACAACAGCTGGTAACATCAAGTTAATCCTCTAGTATTAAAGTCCCCGAGACAGGATGGGAAAGTCCAATGGGAAGTGCTGTAGGCGGTGGGTCCGTAACTGTTTTCTAGAAGTTAGGGTTAGGAAGCCCGAAACTACCGCCCTGCCTCACCTCAGACCCGGTTTGCAGGTATCCCCTTATCTATCTCCTCCTTCCCTCCTCTGAACTTGGTCAGCAGATGCAACCACGGTCTCCTGAGCACCTGTGTACCAGGCTTCAGGTTAGATTCTGCATGCATCCTCTGAAAAACTGGGAACCAGGAGTCCAGGAAATACCTAAAGCTGTGGGGACCTTGACACCATTAGGCCCGGGCAGGTCGGACAGCCAGTGCTTCCAACTCCAAGTAGAGGTGGATAGGTCAGAAACTTGAGATCAGGCTAGCTTTGGGGCTCTGAACTAGTCACTGAACCTCCCGAGTTGACTGCATTAAGGGGGTCCTGTAAAGCCTACGTAAGAAGCAGATTCCGACTGTCAAGATCCTGACACCAGGCGAAGGCCCCATAAATGGCAGCCATCATTCCTGGCCGAGTGCGGGCGCATCCTCCCGGGGAGGGGGGGGGTGTCCCTGAGGACAGGCCGGGCCCGCCTCGGAGGCTTTGGTCTCGCAGTGCTCGCGGCAGGTGGTCCAGCATCTCGGTGCCCACGCCCCGAGGCAAGCGAGGAGCGCGGGCGGGTTGGATGACCATCTCCCCTGGAGGATCGCCGCCTCCCACTCCATCCGCGCGCTCGGCGCAGGTGAGGCTTCCAGTCCAGGCCACGGTGACAGCGACCTCAAGAGAGGTCGGAGCGGAGGGCGCAGCCTGAGGCCTGGAGGGGGTCCCCAGGGCGCCTCTTCCCTCACCCAGGTTCACACTACGGCCAGCTCGGGCGCCAGGGCCCGCGGGCTGCGAGCTCTGCGGCTGCGAAAACCCGGAGAGGCGGATCGGAGCGCCCGCCGCGCTCGCAGCCAACTCCTCCGCGGTCCGGCCGCCGAGCTGGGCATGCTCAGTGCGGCCGCCGCGCCGCCGTCCGCCAACTCGGAAGCTCGCGCTCCCGGGCCGTGGGGGCGAGAACGCCGGCGGCGAGCCGGCGTCGCTCGCCGCCCCCATCGGTGGCAAACTTCGCGGCGTCCCCGGAGCTGGTCCGAGCGAGACAGAGATCTCACCAATAAAATAAAATCCAATTTCCCCTTCCCACCCCGAACCATGGAGGCTGCGGCCGCTGGAGTGCCCCCGCCGGCTGCGGCCCCTGCCCGCTAGCTGGGGACCAACAGGTAAACTGTTGGGGGTGGG